ACCTGGATAGTAAGAGACAATTTCAGGAATTAAAACCCCCTTCTCAAAAGCAATAACATAGTTGCAATTGTAAATAAGGCTTCCCCCAGAAACTCAAATCCCAATATAAGAACATCCATAAATGAAGAAAATATAAAGAAACCCACATATAATCCAATAACAAAAAGTACATCAAATCAAACATATGCACAGACCCTAAACTTAGCTCAAAGTCTAACAGCAGGACAGAGAACACCAACAAAAATGAAAACAACTCAAAGCACATATAAAAAACAGAAAGAAAAAACTCCCACATCCAAAGAGGAAACTCAAAAAAATGTAAACAAATCAATTCAGACTAATCCAATGAAAGATAAATCAAAACAAAAAGATATAGAAGATTCTCCAATAACTTGGACCCTACCAACCCCATTAAGGGAAAAGGAAACACAGAAAGATGTACAAACAGAAGAAAAAAAAAAAAAAAAAACTATCTTGGATAGAACTAATAAAAATTACAGTGATCACAACAAACATCATAAATGATATGGACAAAGAGAAAACAATGATAGAGGTAATAATAGATGCAGTCAAAGAATTTTCCCCAATATCTAAAAAGTTCATATTACTTCTAAATGAATTAAGTAATTCTATGGAATGCAAGATCAGTTTTACACAAAAACATAGAATTAACGTATATCATAGACAAAGAAAAAACAGATGTATTAGCAATCTGTGAAACATGGCTAAAAAATAAAGACAACTTCAATTTCCAAAACTATAAAACTATAAGATATGACAAACCAGGACAAGTAGGAGGAAGTTTGGCATTCTGCAGCCTATTATAGAAATCAAAAAGAGACTAGAAATATTCAAAGATGAATACAAAAAAATAGTAAATAAACACTCAAAAAAAAATATGCTGACAGACACAAAAAAGGAAGAACTTCTGAAAACTAACAATGACACAGAAATAAATGAGAAAATAACTAATAAAGAGTTAATTCAAGCAATAGCAAACACAAAAAATAATAAAGCATACGGTCCAGATTAAATTCCATACGAATTTTATAAGAATGCCCCTCAAAAAACCTCAGATAAGATCCTAAATCAAATGAACAATCACTGGACTCGTGGAGAATACCCACAAGCTTTCAAAAATGTACTAATAAACCCAATTATAAAACCAGGAAAAAATCCATCAGATGCAAAATCGTATAGATTTATCAGCCGTATCACTTGCCTAGGGAAAATATTTGAAAATAAAAAGACTAAACTGGTGGCTAGAAACTAACAACAAACTAGACCTAGACATAACAGGCTTCAGATCAAACCACACCACAGAAGATGCAATCAAAACAATAGAAACAAATATAACAAATGCCATGAAAGAGAAAAAATATGCACTTGTTGCATGTATAGACCTGGAAAAAACCTTTGACATGGTAAACCATGAAGCACTCCTGATAAAGATGGCAAATCTAGGTCTAAAAGGAAACCTGCTAAATTGGGTATACAGCTTTTTAAAAGAAAGAACTTACCAAATAAGTATTGGCAACCAAAAATCCATAAAAGGTACAATCACGAGTGGAGTCCCTTTAAGTCCAACATTATTCAATATAATGGTAAACGACCTAAAAATGCCAGAAGAAATAAAAAAGATAATATATGCAGATGATATAACTATCATCACATCAATTAAAATATACTTGGAAGAAAAAAAATAATAGAATAGGCAGACACCTGGGATTTAAAAATAAACCTAACAAAAAACAAAACATTACGCTTCACTAAAAAAAGAAGAGTCCAACGACCAGAAATAAATATAAACAACATAGAACTAAAATTCACTGATAGCCAAGACATATTAGGGCTAAGATTCAACCTCCCAAAATTAAATTGGTCTAAACACATAGATAACATAAAAATAAAATCTATTAATAGAACAAATATAATGAAAAAGTTAGCAGGATATAACTGGGGAGCAAAAAGGGAAACTCTGCTGAAGTTTTACAACATTTATATAAAACCAAAAATAGAATACCGCCTATCCATTTATGGAACAGCAAATAAATCAGAAATAAAAAAATAGAAACAATCCAAAATACAGCAATGAGAATACCAATAGGATGTTTCAAATCCTCTCCAGTAATAACATTACAAGCAATCACAAACAAACCCCCAATAACGGAAAGAATAAATGAACTTGCCTGTATTCAACTAGTAAAAATACTAGCAAAACCAGACAATTTACCAGTAAAAGAAGAAATTGTAAAAAGTATTCGAGACTACAAACCAAACAGAGACAAAAGTACATGGACTCATAAAGTCATCGAAACTTTCAAAAAACCAAAAATCAAAATCAACATAAATAAGACCCTGAATATAACATAACCCCAGTACCACCATGGCATGATATTTCCCCAAAATTAGTTACAAATTTCATTGATAACTTCTCAAAAGACCTATCAACTGAAATAATTGGGAAACAATACAAAATGCTAACAAACACAAAATATAAAAACTATAATAAAATATTCACAGATGGATCCAAAATAAATGAACCTCAGTCAACATCAGCAGCAATTTATATCGAACAAAAATAGATCAATACAATCTGGAAACTACCGAAAAATACCCAAATTGTAGAAGCAGAATTATATGCCATAAATCAAGGCCTGAAATATATAGAAATTAACAAACTAACAAACTCCGTGATTTTCACAGATTCTCTTTCATCTGTAATGATTCTACAAAATCACAAACCCAGCAACTATAAACAAATCACACCTTACACTACAATGCCCACGTTTCCATTCCGAGAGAACTAAACTAATAGAGGCTCTAAAAAAAATCAAAATTAACAATCTTAATATCTCTTTACTCATTACAGGAGATAATCATCCACCGGTTAAAAAGTACTACATTTTAAGACATATGAAGATCTTCCTACAAAGAACAAGAATAGTGAATATCATATAAAACAGAGAACAAAACTATAACCAACAAAAGAAAACCTGTGTTTACTTACGGTTTTTATTGTACCATTTTAGGGGAAAAGGGTGAATGAAATACAGAGCTCTGCTGAGCTGCACAGATATATTCTGGAGGAGTATACAGTACTAATGTTTACATAGGGGTTACGTACGCATGCAAAATATGAGGGGATACGTGACTTGTATCATAATGTATAGTAAATAGAACATATTATTTCAAGGGAAATAATTATGAGTAATCATATGACAACCTGCAATCAAAAAATAGAAGACTCCAGAAATCAAGATCCAGGGAATATAGACAACATAAGTCTAAAACCCTATAAAAGAAAAAAGAAGAAGAAGAAGCCTGGAGATACAGTGCTTGTTGACAAGAATGCATTAAAGGGAAATTGGAAGCTAGCACACGTGATCTTTACATCCCCAGGTTCTGATGGTAAAGGAATGTTACTTTAGGATATAAACCTTCTATACCAGGTACCAGGTATAAAGGAAGAAGATATTTTGATAGATCTGTACATAAAATTGTTGTAATTCTTCCAATTGAAGAACAGTGAGTCTCTGGTGGTGGGAGTGTATCATGAATTTCATTCAAGATATTTTTATGCTGTATGTTCATATTATTCTGCATACTGTATATAATCATTCTGTATTGATTTCCTCTATATTTAGATGTCATATTATGTACCCATAATGTTATATATATATAAACCGTGTGTGTGTGTGTGTGTGTGTGTGTGTGTGTGTGTGTGTGTGTGTGTGCGTGTGTGTGTGTGTGTGTGTGTGTGTGTGTGTGTGTGTGTGTGTGTGTGTGTGTGTGTGTGTGTGTGTGTGTGTGTGTGTGTGTGTGTGTGTGTGTGTGTGTGTGTGTGTGTGTGTGTGTGTGTGTGTGTGTGTGTGTGTGTGTGTGTGTGTGTGTGTGTGTGTGTGTGTGTGTGTGTGTGTGTGTGTGTGTGTGTGTGTGTGTGTGTGTGTGTGTGTGTGTGTGTGTGTGTGTGTGTGTGTGTGTGTGTGTGTGTGTGTGTGTGTGTGTGTGTGTGTGTGTGTGTGTGTGTGTGTGTGTGTGTGTGTGTGTGTGTGTGTGTGTGTGTGTGTGTGTGTGTGTGTGTGTGTGTGTGTGTGTGTGTGTGTGTGTGTGTGTGTGTGTGTGTGTGTGTGTGTGTGTGTGTGTGTGTGTGTGTGTGTGTGTGTGTGTGTGTGTGTGTGTGTGTGTGTGTGTGTGTGTGTGTGTGTGTGTGTGTGTGTGTGTGTGTGTGTGTGTGTGTGTGTGTGTGTGTGTGTGTGTGTGTGTGTGTGTGTGTGTGTGTGTGTGTGTGTGTGTGTGTGTGTGTGTGTGTGTGTGTGTGTGTGTGTGTGTGTGTGTGTGTGTGTGTGTGTGTGTGTGTGTGTGTGTGTGTGTGTGTGTGTGTGTGTGTGTGTGTGTGTGTGTGTGTGTGTGTGTGTGTGTGTGTGTGTGTGTGTGTGTGTGTGTGTGTGTGTGTGTGTGTGTGTGTGTGTGTGTGTGTGTGTGTGTGTGTGTGTGTGTGTGTGTGTGTGTGATCTATTTTTTATTATTTTATTTTATGCTTTACTCTTTGTAGGATGTGTTTTGGTAATTTTTAAGATATGGTTTGTTGAATTCTAGCCGAAGAGATGGGAGGTCTCACTGTTCTAAGTATATATAGTAAAGCTCAAAACAAAACTAAATTCAATCCAATGTTTGTCGCCCAGAACTCACCTCCAATGTCAGAAACGATCCAGTCGGGCATGGCGAGGCTCACCACCGCGAAGATGTCTGCGGCCAGGAACAGCGCGCCAGATATTATCGTCAGTTTATCCATGGCGACGAGTAAGGGAATGAGCAAGGGAAAATATCAAAGGGTGAAAGTTGTTCTTCGCTTCACATCTTGCCTTGCCCTCCCCCCAAGAGTAAACAAACGAATATAGATGTTGTGAAAGTATAAGGACCTAAAAGGGAGTATTGGATTCGATCGATGGGGGATTCAAGTGTCGGGAATGCTGATGCTCTTTTGTTGGCGACGAGAACCACGTAAACAGTCAGAAGAAAATGTAAACACGGCAGACGGCTCTCAACCCCCGCACAGGCTGTGGCAGTGATGGACGCTCTTCTGGCTCTGAGAAGACGAGTTTATGCTAAACGTGCGGAGAAACGTACTTGGGTACGCTCTTGGTTGAAGAGACGAGAGAGCAAGAGAGCGTTTATCATCGACATGTCAAGGAGCTGACATTGGAGGACCCAGAAGAAATGAGACGGTGGATTCGGTTGGACAAGGACCAGTACAATAATCTCTTGAGATTGGTGACTCTTCTCATAGAGAAACAAGATACGAAAATGAGGAAGGCTGTAACTGCTGGGGAAAGACTGACGCTAACTCTCGGATATCTGGCAACAGGTAAATATCATAATAAGTGTTCTTAAAATGTTGAGCCTCACCTTGCTATTTTTGTTTATATCATCATCATCATCATCATGGGGGCTGACGCCGACGGGGGCGCATAGCCGCATCCACCCTTTGCTTCCACCTACGAGGATCCCTCATGGCTAGACGCCAGGCAGGGACTCGGCCCATCTCTAGTTCCTCACGGCAGGTTTGGTCGATCTGCCCAAGCCATGACTTCCTCGGTCGTCCCGCAGGCCCTGTTATCTGCACAATCCGTGATCGCCAACTCAGGCTATACGGCCACCTGGCTCGCTTTCCTCAGGATGATCCTGCCCACCAGGTCGTCTCTGTTCGAGACAACCCTGGGTGGAGGAGGCCTGCGGGACGACCGAGGCTACCACACTAGCCAATAAATCATCCGCATAAGAATCATTTTCAATCAGTTTGGTAGCTTCTGGGTAATTCTTACAAATATCTGCTGTCTTATGTAAAGCAACTATTGCAATCGCTCCTCCAGGTTTATCACCAAAAGTAACTGTCGTTAAAGCATAATGACTTTGACTTCTTTCCGTATTCATTTCTCTCCACAAGAATCTATGGCAATTCTGATTGAAATGGCCTATCTTAACTGAATTGTACATTTTCTTAATGTCTCCTATAAGCCCAATAAGCCCTTGACGGAATCTGAGAAGTATGCCTAAAATATTATTTAGGCAATCGGGTCCCTTAGCAAGAAAATCATTTAATGCAAATCCCATATAAGGCGCTGAAGAATCAAATACAATTCTCATTGGTGTTGACTTTGAATCAGATCTAAGAACTTCATGATGAGGAAGGTAAAACACTGGCCCTTTATACAAGATTATCTCTTCGTCTGACATCTTACGAGCTACCCCTCTTTTAACCATGTCCTGTATTTGTTCATTATACCTTTGAGCATTCACAGCTAAGCTTATGTAACCTCTTTTCAGTTGACCTCAATCTTGCCTCAGCTAATGACATGTTATTTGGTAATTCACTAGGATTTCTGATCCATGGATAGTCCAATATTGATTAAGCTCATCATGATTCAATCCATCCTCAATTAGTTTCAGTTCCCTTTCTTCCTTTAGCGTCGTATGCCCTTTCAGAGAACACTTGCCACAACGACACCCTCCACACTTCGGACAGCATGCTATACCTAGTTCTTCACTCATGAAAAAGCATTCCATCATTCTACCAATATTTATCTTGGATTTTTTATTTTTTATTGTTTATTTATTTTTTATTTATTTTTTATTTTTTTATTATTAAAGTTTGGCATATGAGTGTTCCGATCTTATCAGACTGGCAGAGAACCAGTAAATATGATATAATAAAAAATGATGCCCATGTAAACCAACAAGTTAGATTTCATGAATCACATGAGACTCGTCATACATATTGCACAATTTCAATTAAAATTTATTATGTAAAAGAAAAAAGAAATGATGAGAAATTAATTTTACATAAACTTCTTTTGTTTCATATTTAGATAAAGACCATGTAGTTGTATAAATCCTCCATAGCACAAGATCAAGACCAAAATTAGAGGAGCATATAGAAATCCTGAAGTCCATTCAGAAACACAAAAAATAATGGAAAAATTGTTTGTATGATAGGGTCTTAAGTATCTGGTGGTCAGTATTGTTTGTCAAGTACTGTAAAACTGTATGGGTAATTCAAACCCAATTCTTTTCAGGTGATACTCGCCTAGGACTGCTATGGACATGTGAGACTTTATATAACAGATCTCAGGTAAGTATTTATTTTTTCATTAACAAAATTTAGGATTTTTGTTCTATGAATTGATTATGATATACAAGATTAGAGCTTGTGTTATTTGGTTAATTTTGTAGGATATCTTAATTTTTATTTGCGTCTTTTACAGGTCTGCTATGCACCGTCTCTTGGAGGAGCATGGTTGGTGACTCTAGGATGTGTACTCTTGGGGTGTGTGTGCGTCACTGCAACCATCGTTCTGCTGGCTCTCTCACACTGTCGAATCAGTCTCTATATCATGGCCTATGCCCGTTGGGTTGGCTTCACTGCTAGTAAGTGTGGAATGGCATAAAAATGTCATGTCTGAATTCACTGATTTTTGAGGTAGAGTCATTCACTCCTTCTTGAGAAAAATATTTGAACATTTTAGAATGAATATTTTGAGAATGAAACACCGTACAAGTATATGTAAGTATTAAAAAATATATATTTATTCCTCTGTCCAGTGGTGCTGTTCTGTCTGGCTGCGGTTGTTTTTCCAATGGGATTTTATGTTGAAGAGATTGGTGGAGAACCATATCAACTCCCAAACAGTTTCCAGGTGAGTTTGGAATAGTTTTTAGTTTGGAAATCTTACATTTTGATAAAATTTTAAAAGATGAATGAACAGAACATTTATGTAAGTGAAAATTTTTAATATCATGTCATAACTTTTTCTCCTCCAGGTTGGATATTCATACATATTTTTCGTGCTAGCTCTTTGGATGACAGTGGTTTCGGAGCTTTTTGCTGGAAAAGTCTGCCTACCCAATTTTTAATTCATATGCATATTGAAAATTGGTGGACAATGAGCTTTGTACGACAAACTTTTTTCTTGTCAGAGACAGTGAAGAAAAAATGAATTTCCAATTGATTTCCAAAACCCAAACAAGTTGGAGATGTATAGAGTTTAGTGGATGTTTTTTTTTCTTTTCTTCTTCCTCTTCTTCTTCTTCTTCTTTTTCTACTCCTTAGAAAAAAGAAGTTCAATTACCTGTCGCAGTTTATGTTCCATTGGGGTGTTGATTGAAGGGCAGATGGTGCCAAAGTTTAATGTTACTGTTAATGTTGTTATGGTTAACAATACTGTAGGAGGTGAGATGGGGAAGAAAATGCCGTAGGCAAATTTTTTTTTTTAGGATAGCATTATTTGAATAATCTAATCACTCCAGCACTATTAATTTTTATGGTGTGTAGTCACTCTTGCTCTTCAAAATAACTCCTGTTTATTGCAACACGTTCAGACTATGTTTAAAACTGTAACAAATGCATCAAACTCTGTTGTAACAATTTATGTAATAGCTACAACTCCTTATACAAATATTATATTGTTTGTTAGTAAGATTATAGTTAATGTTACTTCTAATTCCTTTTTTCTTTGTAAATATTCTTTACATGACAAGTACCTGTGAATATTTATTATTATTAATATTATTATTGTAATTATACTAACTTTTTGATATCTGAAATGATTAAGCACAAATAGGAGAAATTTGTGATACTTTGTTAGAATCTAAGTTCATATTTCATTCCACTTTCTCAGAGATCTGATTTCATAGTTCTTTTTTCTTATTCCAAATTTGTAAATTTTTAAGTTGGTGAATATGTGTTTTTCTATGTGTGCTAGGCTGTTCTGCTTCCTGTCTTATTGTCCAATAAGTAGCACCCATGTCATGTCCAATGTGATTTTAGTTTGTTAATTTTGTATATACACAGATGACTCCACAAGAGTTTAGTCACCATATCACAGAATGATATATTTGTTTAATTGAATGTATTTATCTGTATATTGATATAGATATAGGAATGCATATAAGTATATGATAATAAATAAAGAGAAGTACAATATTTTTTTATATCCTTTAAAAGTGTGGAAATTACATTGCATCCTCGGGTCAAGCAATACATTTCTAGTTGACAGATCTTGTTAGCAAATGTTTTGTGAATTCCAAATAGGTATCATCCAATTGCCAGTCTTTAGTGTCAACAGATTTTAGGTAAATCAAAAAGGCGGGTTCAGATTCTTTTTTTTTTTTATCCATAAAAAAGTAGAACTTGTAGAGAAAGGTACATATGGGCTTTTGCATCAGGTTCAGCTGTATAAAGGCAGATCAATGAAAAAGAATGAGACAAAGATTTGAATTTAAACTTGGATTCAAATTTCCATCCTATAGCTGTGGTTATAAGGCAAAAATTAAAATATCATTCGAAACCATATTGGTATTTTGCTATATATACATACAGAATAAGTATATTGTAATAAGATAAAATTATCTATATTTGTCAGAAACAATTCAGTCACATATAAAATATTGATGACAGAATCTTTATATTATAAATTATTTTCTACAATTTTTCTTTTATAAACATTTTATTTGACTAAACTGAGCAGTACATATATGTATATACATATATGCATAGCCACTTCACATTTCCTATAAGAGAAAAATGTGAAGTGCAGTGCATAATATAAATCTCACCAAAAACCTCACCTGGCAAAAATCTAGTCTAGTATCACAATATTGCTAATATAAGTATCCAAAATGTGGCATTAAAAGCATATCTAAATATACATATACTGTATAAGTGCACATAAAATCTCAAACTATCCGTTAACACCTTGAGACGTAAGTCATTCCATAAAATACCCACTCAATAAGTCTCTCTCTCATAAATACTTTCTAAAAAAGACATTCACATTCATAATCACATTCAAAATAGGGACTCTGACAAGGAGTAATATACAACCTACATAGTAGAGAAGTTAAATAAAGTAATATGGGTTTTACCCTATGCTTTCATAACAAAAGTAAAATGAATGGTGACGAGAAGGTAGGAACTCGGGAAAACAGAGGGAACCCCTCCTCTCTGTGTGAGAGAATCATTTTCAACTTCATTCTCCTTTGATGGACGCCATGGGACAGTTGCTATGGGTTTCACAGGACTTGCTGTTGGATTTGCTTGTCCTGTGTGATGATATATTGTGAATACATAGTCATAGTATAATCATAAAATGAAATATTGGTATGATATTATGATGAAATATGGGTATGCCTCTAAATATAAGTTCAATTATATAACCAAAACCTGGTATGATTGTATGGCAAAATATAAGCATATTGATGTGATAAAGATCCTAACTATAAGATATTTTGTAATATGACTATCAACAACATTAAGGAACGGTAAAGAACATGTACCTTTGTTCTCCTGAATCTTTGTATTCTTGTTTGGAACTGATGGTACTGCTATATTGGTGTCAATCTTATACACCTCAGTGTCTTTTTCTGCTAGAGTACACTGTTGTTCATTTCTATGAAGCGGTATGAAGTTTGGATACTTGACCTTCTTTGGTAACTGGAAAGAAATAAGTTGAGTTTTTTTTAATCTCCTCAAATACCATTTTTAGCACAGATGTTACATATACACAGTATCAAGAAATGACAACCTTTAGCACTGAGTTACAAACAAACTTCCTATGTTCTACCTATGTTTATTCTACACTATAAAATAAATTACCCTAAAAGGCCTTAAATCTGTCAGCCTTTCCACACATGTTTTAGATTTTGCATTGATTAGGATCATCTAAAATCCCAAGTCAAACTCTTAATCCCTACCCACCGAATAAAATAGATATACAAAATATGTGAAAAAAATACACAAACAAATGTTTCCGCACTTACCCTATCTATAATAATCCTGCCATGATTTTCACATGAAGGTTCGTGTTGCCCATAAACAATCATTTCCTGCAAGGTGGAGATCATGCGTGTGTCCTGCCAGGTAGCTTTATCATGCAAGATATCGTAAAAAGATGTGTTGAAGTAGCCTGGGGATGAATACTTTTATTAGCCATTTGTGATGGATGTAAGATTAATGTTTTTATATTAATATATTTTTATATATAATAATAGAATACTTTTATTTGGGACTTATCATGAGAAAATTGACACTGAAGATAAATGTAAATAAGGTGGGTTTTTTTTACATGTTTACTGGTTTTGATGAAAGTAATTTTTTCTATATGTTGTTTTGTAATCATTACTATCATGAACTTCAGCAATAATTCTTAAACAGATTCATTTTCATCTGTAGCTCTCCAAAATGTTCAAGCTATATGAACAAGATTTGTAAAGAATTCATTATAGTTCCTAACTACCATAACTTATAAGCTTTCCAATTTTTCTCTCTTACGTTGAGGGGCTTTTGCAATGATGTAACGGTAGATGTTTCCGAGGTGGATGTCTACAGGCTCGTTCACTCTGTCCTTCATTCTTGTTAGGGAGGAGTTTTCAACCTCCTCGTTGATGAATTCCTCACTGATGGACATGAAAGTGTGGTTGGGAATTTTAAGTGTGGGATATACAAAGGAAAAGGAACTAGAAGCATTATGTATGAGTACAATTTTGGTAGTTTTTGAATTATCAGTATATATCAGTCTTACAACTAAATGCATGTAATAAAAAAACTCTCTACTATTCCAGAAAAAAAGCAACCTTTTTAAAAAATGAAATGAAAATTGATATTCACCTGAAACTCTGGTCATTGAATATATTCCTGAAAAGAAGACATTTTAAAACTATATGTAGCAGCTGCAATATATTGTAATTTTTAAAATAGTATAATACATCACTGTTAAACTTTTTCAAACAATATCTAAGTTTAAAAATCCACATAATATAATACATTTCCATACTCACATAAAAAAACACCCTGAAAATAATCTTAATAGTCATCATATCAACAAATTTCCATAGAATCATATTCTCTAAGAAATAAATCCCAATCCAGCCTAGGCAATATCAACAAATATGTCTTTACTTACATATCATTATCAAAGAGATCCTGAATGCCGAATGTATCAAAGACGAGAGCCATGTCAGGTCGTGAGTAACAGCCCGACAAATTCACTCTTGGGTAATACGTTAGGAAAGCCAGACACATCTCGTCTTCAGTACTGAATCCACCCTTGGAAAGTTGAAGATTTATTAGTATAGATTGTAATACAGTAAAATGAAGAGTAAAGTAATATATAATAGTGATTTGATATTTAGCATTTCATACAATAAGTGAGGGCAGGTGTGGGTGGGTATGTGGGTGTGGGTGTACAAGTGTGGCTGAAGATGTAGGTTGTCAGTGTGAATGTGGGTGTAGCTGTGTGTGTGATTGTCCGTACACTTGTGTGACATTATAATATAAAAGTTCTCTCTGTATTTCAAATATGCTTACATTTCAAAGTAAAACAGCTAGCATGTGTACATTGTCAACTATCTATGTCAACATTACACAATCATACATTTAAAAACAACTACACAGCAATAAGAGCAGTCACTTACAAATGTTGGCATTTTTCTCTTGGTGGAGTCGTAGCCACACTTGACTATTAAAGAGTCTCCAGGCATGACTTTCATTTCTTCCTTCAGTACCCGAGCTTGCTGGTAATTGAAATCATAGGACATATCTGTGTGTATGGAAAAATACCTCTTCTTATTCGTTCTTGAAAGAAAAATGAACTTACACATAAAGAAAAAACAACAGTAAATGTACCAAGTGGAAAAATGATGTATATTTTAAAAATCATCTGGCTGTCCATTTCTCCTTACTCTAACAACTGTCTTTTTTTTTAATGTGGGAGGTGCAACCAAATGTCATGCATACACTGAAGAAAATGAATAATAGTCAATCTCTTTTATATATATACACACATTGATCTATATATCTATTTGGCAGATATGCATTTATTTCTGTGTATATGCATGTCCATACAATGAATATTCATTGGGTCGGGACTCGCACAATTCTAACAAACCCATTGTAAAGCTTGAAAAATATTTCCAATTAAAAAAAAAAATTTTTGATATAATATTCCAGATATAAACATGTATGCCTTTGCTTTAAGAAAAACTTAATGAACTGTGCATAGGATATAGTCAGGTCAGATGGTCTCTAACTCAACATAATGTAACATATGAGGAGTGAGAAAAAACAAAAAGCAAGGTATAAAAATAAATACATGAATAAATGAAATGAAACAAAAATCACTAGAAGATCTGAAACACAGAGATAACAAAAAGTATAAAACCTACCTTTAAAGACATTTGGCAATTCCCTTCCTTTCCGAATTTGTGTGATGGAAATTGACGAGCCCAGAAGATGAGCATGTAAGAAGCCTTGGAACACATTAATCCCATTTGTTGGTAGAGTCTGTGGTTTAGAGCAACAGGAATAGCATGAAAAGTTCTACACACCATTTCTAGTTTATCTACTATGAAAAATAATTATAATTTTCATATATTCATGGGCAATACTCTAGTGAGAGCAGAGGTAGATATAGAATTACAGACATACAAATTGAAACACACACACACATCTAAACCATTAAAAATATCCTTTTAACTACACTGCTAATCACCTCATCTGTGCAGTCAGCTGTGCAAAGGGCTACAGTAGTCCACTTTTGTCCGGGAGGAATAATATGTGTGGGAGATACAGTATGTCCTAGGGTAAGGATTCCTGCATCATGTTGTCGCAGTTTCTCAGAGTACATTATTCTTACACCTGATGAGTCCACAACACCTGTAATTGAAAAGGAATATAATACTTTAAAGTAAAAGATCCAATATAGAAAAGAGACAAAAAAACATAGTATGGGACCACTGGTAGTCAGTTCTTAGGATATTTAGCTTGGTAAATATATCAATGAAGAAACAGATTTATATATTACACGTCAGGCACTATTATCCTTCTTTGAAAAAAAGGATAATATATGTTCTAACTCTTAATGATTTACAAGATAAAGGATTCTAAAACATATGTCTTACCTTTTCTCAGATTTGGGTTGTTATAATGAATTTCAAGCATAAAATATGTTGCTCCACCATGTTCCTCTCCCAATGGAACTCCCACATGGTCTGGAAACATCTCACCTATTATAGAGAAAAGAAGAAAAAAAAGCATGAGTTCACTAACTAACTGTAGAAAACATCTCACCNAGGAGAGAGAGAGGGGGAGGAGAGAGAGAGGGGGGGAGGAGAGAGAGAGTTGCTCTACTCCATTGATAAAATAATCTCTTTTCTTGGGGGCACTCCTTTAAACAAAATGGCAGCTGGTCTTTCTAAATATCACCATCAGACATCTATCCAATCATGAGTAGTTTAGTGTCCAGACACTAAATCGCATGCAAAGGTACCTTGTTTAATACTGTCTTTGGGTTTTTTTCACCATGACAACCGTAAAAAGACAATTCGGAATCCTAGAAGTCCAGTAAACCGTTTACCTTAGTTCAATTAAGGAAAAAAAGAGTTCACACTGCTATATCCAACCCTGAGGTCAGATTACTAACTAGAATCCTTCGCATCATAGGAACCACTTTAACTTCGCAGTACAAGGGATCTTCGAACATGCCGACATAACCTTCATCAGTGTCTTTACGTTAACCCTCACAGTTTTCAAGTTACTGACACTGGCAATAATCACTTTGCAATGCCATATGTTATCACAAGTTCAAGAGTGCAAATGAACGCCGCTTAAGTTCCAATTTCAGGTCTCTTATGTAGCAGCACTATAACTGTTCAATGTCTTGCTTCATATATATGGTACATATCATCCGCGATGTTATCAGACGAATGAGGGCGGTCTGTGTCATTACCCAAGTTACGCTGAAATCACAATCTTGTTTGATGCTGCTACTCTCTTACAGTGGGTTCCTTGATTAGAACGACAATGCACTTCACAATAATGCAACGTAACAACGCATTTTTCAGCTGCTAGTCAAAGTCAACGTACAATTGACTGAAATATCAACCTTGTCGTTTCCGTTTCTGCAACACCTGTTTCAATCATCGATGACATTCTCCATATGCCATACCCTAGTAAGCGGGACCCTTGACGGCAGTCGATTCTGAGAGTACATTAAGCTTCCACGAAAACCAATATTAACCTAATACCCCATTCCCATCCTTCACAAACTAATTTACACTTTCTAAAACTTCTTTTTCTCTGGAAGAGCACAAATCACTTGAGGATAGGATATCACATTAATGTTTTATTTTCTTCGTTTGTACGTCCCTAAGGAATACACATAGGAAAGCAAATAGTTCCGAGACTCATCGCTATAAGCAAGAGCATCACAACGCACACAACACTAACATGCAGATATGATCACACATTCTTACTACGCGTACCATTTTAGCACGGAAGGGCTTCGGTGGGATCGCGTCTTCCCTCGCCGCGACGAACTTCGCTTTGTCTCACGCCACATTACGGTCAACAAAACACATTCTCAAATCGACACCGAAAGCCATTTTCTAGCTATAAGGCACTCTTTTCACACATTGCAACCGTTTCCACTACTCTAGGTCATGCTGGCTTCCCTGATGACCCGATTTCTTTTTTAAAAGGACAGCAAACTGGCAATCTTTTGTGAAAACTACGGCTCGTTAACAGCTCAGTACTGGAGTACCTGAGAAAGTTGGGGCTACGTTTACCTCTCACAATCCTTGCCAGATAGTGCTATAGCCGCCAACTTTACTTTCAAGACTAAACTGTTGCTTTATTTTTGTAGGCATAGCTGATATAATAATGTCAGCTTATGTTTTTATATATGAATAGGATTAATAACCATTCTACAAATATACTTATTCATAATATGGAAGCCACGAATGACTCCCTCCAATTGCCGATTTTTGCCTACCACTATTTGTATTTTTGTCGCATTAATCGATTTTCAATACAAGTCCTAATAATTTACCAATATGAACATTTTAAAAATATGTTAAAAAAAAAAATATATATATATAAGGCCAAAAGAAAAGTGCGCAAAATCAAACGAAAGCTTCTCATATTGGTTTGGTGGAAGTAAATGTAACAAATAGAAAAATCCACACACTCCTCTCCCTGGCCAACGTCATACATTGTTGCCAGATGTTCGCTATTTACAAACACAGCTACTACCTTTCATATTTTATATATCTCCCGCTGCTTTAGTCCATCTGCTTTTTGAAAAGTATTTGCTTTATACACTGGTTATCGCAGTGCTGACTATAAATCTGCCTCCTCTGGCGAAGAGTGGCACCGTTCTTCCACAAATTAGCTATGAGAAACTCCTTGTTCCAACAGATAATCTTAAGTTGCCAACAAGCATTACAAACTAATTTCATATGTAAGGGAACTTCCTGTTGGAACTAGTGTTCTTAAAAACGCAATCAATTCATAACTTTACAGTCAAATGTTATGCAGAAAACATTTCTAAATACAACATATTTTGATAACATTTAAAAACTGCAATTTGTTCCGTAGTGGCTTTTCTTTAATATGATGCTTATATTTTTTTTACTGTAATGGCAAGTTGAAGTCGATAACTAGAATAAATCGCATGAACACACTAGCACATCCTGATGCCATGGTCTTACCGAGACGAAGAAATAACACGAACTGCTCATTAACTTTTATAACATCTCTCTTTATGGAATGCCTGTATACAAGTGTGTGTCACGGTGGCTTGAGCAATTTGCCGTTTATTTTCGGTTGGTAACCGTACGTCATCGCCTGCAGGGATAAGTAATACACTATCCAATTGCTATTCATACACTGCATGAGTTGTCCAGACACCAGATACTGACATGATACAAGAAAACGTATTTATTACTTTATGCGGCTATTTGAAAACGGATCCTCATTGGTTACTCAAAATGTCTCTGAAACTAAAAAAATAATAATAATGAGGTATTTTTCAATAACCACTTTCTTATCACTTTCCGGATAAGGCAAGTTGTCAGAACGAAAAGTCAAATGCTATATTCTAGTCCAATTATGTGTAAACATCCAAACTAGTAGGCAAAGGTAAACAATAACTGCTTAACCTCTGTTCCGTTCCCGTGAGGAGAGAGAAAGCAAACCCGCACCAATATTCCCCGCGCAATTCAAAGTCCCTGATCTGTTGGGAGTAGGCACAAAAATAAGCAAATGAGGGCAGCTTCAGAATTTCTGTTGCAAAAGAATGAAAATAGGAGAACGAAACACATAAGAAAAACAAGTTCATAGAAAGAAAAAAACAAGCGGCATAGATACATCATCAATATAAAACGTAGAATAGATTACTGTATACAATGAAACACTACAATACTAACGAAACGCTAGATTTTTCTTCATTTATCTTCTGGCTCTGCATTACATATGTGATACGTATAAAAGAAACATTTCATATATTCAATATAATATA